CAGAAAGAGAAACTAAACAAACAATCCCATTTACCATTGCAACAACAACAATAAAAAAATCAAGATACTTAGGAATAAACTTAACCAAGGAGGTAAAAGACATACTTGAAAACTACAGGACATTGAAAAAAGAGATAGAGGAAGATATAAACGTGTGAAAAAATATACTATGCTCATGGGTTGGTAGAATTAACATAATTAAAATGTCCATTCTACTAAAGGCAATCTGCAGATTCAATGGAATACCTATTAAAATACCAACAGCATATTTCACAGATCTAGAAGAAATACTCTAAAGATTTATATAGAGCCAAAAAAGACCTTGAGTAGCTGTAGCAATCTTGAGAAAGAAGAACAAAGTTGAAGGAGTCACAATACCAGATTTCAAGTTATGCTACAAAGCCACCATAATCAAAACAGCCTTGTACTAGCACAAGAACAGGTTTATAGTAGATCAATGGAACAGAACAGAGACCCCAGAAATCGACTCAAGCCATTATGCTCAACTAATATTTGACAAAGGAGGCAAGAACATACATTGGAGTTAAGACAGTCTCTTCAATAAATGGTGTTTGCAAAATTGAAGAGATACATGCAAAAAAATAAAAAATGAAACTAGACCACCAACTTACACCCTACACAAGAATAAACTCAAAATGAATAAGACACTTAAATGTAAATCATGAAACCATGAGATTCCTAGAAGAAACCATAGGCTGAAAAATCTCAGACATCTCTTGTAGCAATATGTTTATGGATACATCTTCTAGGGCAAAGGAATCTAAGGAGAAAATAAACAAACAGGCCTACATCAAAATAAAAAGCTTGTGCACAGCAAAGGAATCCATCAACAAAACGAAATGGGAGCCCACTATATGAAAGAACATATTTGGCAATGATACATCTGATAAAGGGTTAATATCCCAAACACATAAGGAATTCATACAACTTAACAAAAGGAAGACAAACAATCCAATTAAAAAATGGGCAAATGACCTAAATAGACACTTCTCCAAAGAGGACATACAGATGGCCAAGAGACACATGAAAAAATGCTCAAAGTCACTGATCATCAGAAAAATGCAAATTAAAAGGACAATGAGGTATCACCTCACACCTGTCAGAATGACTATCATCAACAAATCAACAAATGACAAGTGCTGGAGAGGATATGGAGAAAAGGGAACCCTAGTACCCTGCTGGTGGGAATGCAGACTGGTGCAACCATTATGGAAAACAATATGGAGCTTCCTCAAAAAATTAAATATGGAACTGCCATTTGACCCAGTTATCCCACTTCTATGACTATATCTAAGAAACCTGAAACATCAATCAGAAAAAATGTATGCACCCCTATGTTCATAGCAGCACAATTTACAATAGCTAAGATATGGAAACAGCCCAAGTACCCTTCAGTAGACAAGTAGATAAAAAAAGCTGTGATACCATGGAATACGATGCAGCAGTAAAAAGAAGAATCTCTTACCCTTTAGATAGCATGGAGGGACTGGGAGAGTATCATGCTAAGTGAAATAAGTAAGTCAGAGAAAGACAAATATCACATGTTGTCACTCATATGTGGAATCTAAGTAACAAACTGATGAACAGAGTGGATCCAGAAACATGGAAGCATGGAACAGAGTGGGGAATCTCAGAGGGAAGGTGGGGATGGTGAGAGGTAATAAACCAAACACCCTGTATACATACTAGAAGAACAGTGCATGGACTCGTGCACTGGTGGGGTCCCCTGGCCTGGCCTGTGGGGATTGGGCCAAAACTGACCCAGTGCACAGATACGTGCACTGGTGGGGTCCCTCAGCCTGTTCTACACCCTCTCATAATCCAGGACCCCACCAGTGCATGATTGGGGCTGGGGAGGGACCTCGGGAAGGCTCCAGGGCATGTCCAGCCCCTGTTGCCCAGTCCCAATCGGCCGGACCCCAGCAGCAAGCTAACCTACCTGTCAGAGTGTTTGCCCCTGGTGGTCAGTGTGCATAATAGCGACTGGTCAAACGGTCCAATAAACAGTGGGACACTTAGCATATTAGGCTTTTATTATATAGGATATGCATATCACATGGACACACAATAGGGTGGTGAAGGCCTGGGGTGGGGGGGGCAGGCTGGAGAGGGTCAATGGGGAAAAAGGGGGGACATATGTAATACTTTCAACAATAAAGATTAAAAAAAAACAAAAAAAAACCTCATTGCCACTGATTACCAAAGGGAAGTGGGCATGGGGGAAGGTAGAAGAGGGTAAAGAGGGGATGAATGGTGATGGACGGAGACTTGACTTTGGGTGGTGAAAACACAATGCAATATACAGATGATATATTATAGAATTGTACACCTCAAACCTGTATCATTTTATTAACCAATGTCATCCCAATAAATTCAATTAAAAGAGAAAAAGAATTCCCAACCTGGAGCAGATAGGGGCAAAGGGAGAGATAAAGCGCTATAAAAAAGGTGTAGAAGTGGAGGAAGGGGGCCAAAGACAGGGAGACAGACAGGGGAAGGTGTGTAAGTGACTGCAGATGAGGCAGATGGAAGGGAAGGGGCTGCCAAGATAAGGGCCCAGTACAAACAAACAGACAATTAAGGGCAATAAAATGAGGAGCCAGCAGAAGTGGGGTCAAGACTGTGACTGAAATGGGGCCCAGATTAGGATGAATGCCTAGTCACCTCCACATCTGTCACAATGCCCCAGGGACAGCTCAGAGCAGAGACAGGAAACAGCCCTCCATGAATTTGACCCTTTGCTAGGAAGCAATATGGGAACTTTCATCTGCACATTCACATGCGCATACCTGGTGATCCCTGTCCTCAGAAACCTACAGGCCATGAGAGGAGGTAGAGAACGCCATACCCCGTGCAAAGTACAAATGCTATACTGCAGTTCTGATGCAGAGACTACTATCTGAGATCTTGACAAATGGATAAAATTTGGGCATTTGAGAGATAAAGTGAAGATCTTAACCTTTTCCCCAATCTCTCTCCAGTCGTGGTTAAACACGCAAGGACTGCCTAACAGACTGCTAAACAGAAAGGAAGTCCTGGAGACAGAGGCAACCCCACAGATGCCTGCAGAACTGTCAGCACAAACTGTCACCTAAGACAGTTCTGGTCTCTCTGCTCCGGGTTATACCATAACAAACACAGTTCAGAGCACTGACCACGACCTCTCACACCACCATGGATCAATGCCACCCCTCAGACACCCACATGTGGCTTAAGAAAATCGGCCTCGGGATATGCACTAGATAAGCAAGACACTGGGCAAGTGGCCAATTCTAATTTCTACTTGACGTCACACTATTGGTGATGCTAAGTCTACACAAGTGTACCATGTGCTACCAAGACAACATCACAAGATCCTGATTCATGTAAAACACATTCCCAATCCCACGTATTTGCTATTTTCTCCCATGAAACATGACTTATTTTTTAATTGAGATGTAAACACATTTTTAGAAATATATTCATATGCTGTTACCCAATCATCAATTAACCAACATTAAATTTCTGGATTTATTTCTTCTCAAGAAACCTCTTCTCTCTTTACTGCTGTTGTTGCTGCTATTAAATGTATTTTTATTGATTTCAGAGTGGAAGGGACAGAGAGATAGAAACATCAATGATGAGAGAGAATCATTGATCGGCTGCCTCCTGCACGCCCCCTACTGGGAATGGAGCCCGCAACCCAGGCATGTGCCCTGACCGGGAATCAAACCGCTACCTCCTGGTTCATAGGTTGATGTTCAACCACTTAGCCACACCGGCCAGGCCTCTGCTCTCATTTTTCAATTAGCTTATCTCTGCTCTAACTAAAGTCCCTGGCCTGGACACGGAGCCAGCCGACTTGGTACAGTCCTGAGTGTGGCCAACGCTCCCAGAAAGAAGTCTGTGAGAGGTCTGCGACCCCTGCCCCTATGTCAGAAGAGTGTACCACCACCAGCACTCAGACCTGTCTACAGGGAGACCTGGATGCAAGTCCACACTCCTCCCACAATGGCTATATTGGGAGAGCCCTCCCCCACCCCCCGCCATTTCCTGGGGCAGGGGCCTCACAGCGCAGCACAGGAAAGAGGAGTCCAGAGCATGTGCCCAAAGGTGGGGTGTTTATGAACAAGGTACAGGCAGAGCAGGCATGTACTCCCAGAACACCATAAAAGCAATCTAATGCTGTTGCCCAATTAGGCTCTGCACATACAATAAAGCAAGCTCACCTCTAAACCTCCAGTTTAGTTTCTACTGAAACTGAGGCTCAGAGAATGTCATATCTTACAAGTGATTGGTGAGACTATCTGCAAAGAATGGTTTGTTCTTCACACTTCCACTTACATGTAAAACTCCCCTCACACAAGTATTTGCCGTTAGACCTAAATGAGCTTTTGGACTGGGTTATATGATGGCAGCTCTTAAGTCAGCTCTCTTTTACCTAAATCTTTAAGAAATAAGAAATCATAAACCCTAGCCCTGGCCAGTGTGACTCAGCTGGTTGGAGTGTGGTCATGTGCACCAAGGTGTGGTGAGTTCAATTCCTGTTTGGGGCACATACCCAGGTTTCGGGCTCAATCTCTTATTGGGACGTGTGTGGGAAGCAGCTGATCAATGTTTCTCTCTCACATTTCTCTCTTGCTCTCGTTCTCTCTCTCCTTCCCTTTCTCTCAAAAAAAAAATCAATAAAATTAAAAAATCAAAAACCCTAGACTAAGTCTAACAGCCTAAACTTCCATTCATCCTATCTGTTCAAATTACAAGAGGGCCAGTCAAGACAAGAACTCCATTCCTTATGTCTGAAATGCTGATCATAAGATTGCAACTAAGCCCTATAGGGACAGATGTACTGTGGAGAAATAAGGTTAAAAAAATGACAAGTGCATGTGCCGGTTGAGCAATGGACGCTTTTGAAAGGGATTAGTTCAATAATGTGGGCATCTAGGTGGGCAGTTGTAAGAATCTCCCTAAGCAGGCCAACCCCTTCTCCCATGGCCAGGTCACAGCTCAGAGCTCAGCCCAGGGACAGCCCAGTTGGTCTGCGGTGTGTGGGGAGGGTTGGGGATGGGGGACGAGGTCCAGCTCACCCTTCGACCCGCCTCGTTGTTCTGCAGGTTCATAAGCACCCGGCCCTGCTCCTCCGATCCCTTGGCAAAGTTCTTCTCCCGCTCCCGGGCATCCACAAACTCCTTAGCAAACCGGTAGCCGTACTCCACGTTGTCCCCACAGCCGCCCCACAGCCAGTCCCGGGGAAGGTCCTTGGGCCGCGCTGTCCTGCTGCAGCCACATGTGGACAGCTCGCCCTCTCGGCAGGCCCTGCTGATGGCGTTCACCACCCCCGCGGCACTCACAGCATAGGTGAAGGCCGTCTCCCGGCTCCCTGCAAGACAAGGCAAGACGGGGCGAAGGAGGTCAACTCTCTAGTGGAGGCTTCCTCCCCTCTGCCTCCTGGAGACCCATGCCGCCACAGCCGCAGCCTAACACTCCCAGAGGTGGCCTTTCACTTCCCATGACTCTAATGGTTTGAAACTTCTCTTGATAATGAGCTGAAATTTACCTACTTTGCCCTACGATATACCAAATAGAGTGACTCCCCCGCAGCCCTTGGCTTACACTAACACCCATTTCAGAAGTTTATATGACCAGTAGGTTCCTAGGAGGCAGAACCCAATGCAGGAGAGAGCGGACACTGAGGAATTTAGGAAACCCTGAGACCAAGAGAATGAGACTAAATAGAAATCATGGGACTAAGAACAGGACTCTATTCTCACAAATATCTCTCCCTTACAATGGCAATGTTTCACTCTATGAGCCACACATCTGTCTTTTATTGCTACCATTATCTAGGTGGACAGAGGCAGGGAGCAGGAGTAGAGCGTGAACTAGAATTACAACATCCAGAATCATCCAAGCTGCCTCCGGGTCTTCTGCAGGGTCCACACTGCCTCCCAACTCCCAAGCACTGGGAACCACATCTATGGGACCCTCAGCAGGTCTCTCCCAATACCCAGATCATTTCTAGTAGAAAAGCCGAACTGTGTTCCTCTATTGCTGTAGTGAACCGCTTGAAAACTCGCATGATATATGCTCTAATTCAATAAAAATGTTTACAAAAAATAATACTCAGCCACCAGGGAAATGCAAATCAAAATCACAATGAGACACCACTTCACACGCATGAGTATGGCTCTCATCAATATGACAGCTAACAAGTTGGGGAGAATATAGAAAAACTGGAACCCTCATGTACTGCTGGTGGGAATGTTCAATGGTACAGCTGCTTTGGAAACAGTCTGGCAGCTCCTCAAACATAGCATTACCACATGACCCTGCAATTCCACTCCTATAATATATCCAAGATAAAGGAAAACATCTGTCTACATAAAAACTTATATATGAATGTTCACTGTAACATTATTCATAAAAGCCAAAACGTTAAAAAAAAAACCAACTCATATTGTCCATCAGCAGGTAAATGGGTAAATAAAAGGTGGTCTTATAAATACAATGGGATATTATTTAGCCATAAAAAGTAGTAAGTACAGTCCTGGTTGGTGTGGCTCAGTTGGTTGTCATCCCATGCACCAAAGGGTTGCCAGTTCGATTCCTGGTCAGGGTACATGACCCGGTTGTGGGTTCAATACCCGGTTGTAGGTTCAATCCCCGGTTGGGATGCATACAGAAGGCAACCCATCGAAATTTCTCTCTCACCTCTCTCTCTCTCTCTCTCTCTCTCTCTCTCTCTCTCTCTCTCTCCTTCCTCTTTCTCTAAAATCAGTGAAAACATATTTTAAAAGCATATTTTATTTAAAAATTAACTAAGTACAGGTAGAATATGGATGAACCTTGGAATTCTTATGCTAAGTGATCACGTAGCATTTTGTGTCCATGCTGAACCTCATATAAAAGGCCACATATTGTATGACCCCACTGATATGAAATGTTCATAATATGAAAATTCATAAAGACAGAAAGATTAGTGGTTACCTAGGGTTTGGGGAGAAGGGGAGAGAAATGAAGAGTGATCTCTAATGGATATGCAATTTCTTTATAGGGTTCTGGAATTAGATAGTAGTGCTCATTGCACAATCTTGTGAATATACACTGAACTGTATATTACTTTATATTTCAATAAAGTTGTTATAAAAGAAATAACATTCATATAGACTCAGCAATGGAAGGAAGAGAGTGGCTTTTAGCAGGAAACAGATTCAATCCTGATCTCAGCTATTAAACCAGACAGAATTTCTGCTCTCCATGGTCAGAAGTAGACACACGACAATTCTGTCTTGGCAGGTGGAGAGGGAAGCAGTCTGTAACTAGTAGGTCTAGAGTGATCACCTTACCCTACGTTTTGATTATCTAGGCCAGTGGTCAGCAAACTCATTAGTCAACAGAGCCAAATATCAACAGTACAACGATTGAAATTTCTTTTGAGAGCCAAATTTTTTAAACTTAAACTATATAGGTAAGTACACTGTTATTAACTTAATTAGGGTACTCCTAAGGCTTAGGAAGAGCCACACTCAAGGGGCCAAATAGCCGCATGTGGCTCGCGAGCCGCAGTTTGCCAACCACGGACCTAGGCACAACACAGTGAAGTTTGCAACCAGACCACACTGGAAAATTCGTTTTTCTCAATTAACCAGGGGCCAGCTCCTGGTCAGGAGTAGCCCAAGTGGACTAGGAGTAGCCCAAGAAAACCCAGGGATGCAGGAAGTCACACCCATGACTCAGCGATCAGGCTTAACATCTGAATCAGCGCTGAACCACTGCCAGAGACCAGGGCCCATCCGGTCTGGGGGCGTCAGACTGTGAGCGTGAGCTCCCAGGATGTAAGAGGCTCTTAGGAAGGAGGGAGTCATGCCTGAGAAGCCTTCCCAGAATGGGGCGTCAGCCCCGACCTGGCTCCTGGGGCAGGAAGGAGCCTCTGAAGCTGCAGTCCAGAGCCACATTCCACCCACTGTGAGCATTCCTTTCACAGCATTCCTCAGAGAGTGGGTTGGGATCTCAAGGCAACCCATTTCCCCTTCTGTAGTGACTCTGATCACCACAGCATTCTTATATTACGCTGAACTAGGCTTCCCTATAACTTCTGCCTGCTGGAGAGGCACCATCTAATCCCTTTTCCATATGACAGCCCTTCAGTATTTGAAAACAACTAAGATGTCTTTTATGCATTCTCTTTTCCAAGCTACATACGTCTGACTTCTTCTTCCATTTTTTAGCAAACATGTTTTTTAGAGCCGAATCACCCCTCTCAGAATTGCCTTTTAAAATAGTGTACCTGAGGCTGAGCGTGATATCGCAGGCACTATGTGCTCTGAGGGCCCTCGCCTATCAGCGTGGCTTGGGATCCTAACCTGTCCTGAGTGAATTAGCTGTCTCATGCAGTCATTCTGCCTCTTTCGGCCGGGGCTTCATTAGGTCCTGAGTGCAGGTGGCTCTGCCTTCATGGGCAGCATTTGGGTCTCACGTAAGCTTGGTAAGTAAGGCTTCTAGTGCTCCTCTCAGAAAGCAAGAATGCGTAAGAGTGGGGGAAGGGTGTCTATATGTGAAACAATTCAGAGTGGAAACTCAAATCAAGGGAAAAGGCTATTAAACCAGCAGCTACTAAAGAGACCTTACCCTAGTAGGACGACAGGAAACAGCAGGACAATATGATGCCCTCTCTGTTCCAACTGTCAGGAAGCTGCCTCCATGCTCCTCTCAGTGACAGGCCAAAAGCTCCCCCTGAGCTGCTCTGCAGCCGCTTCAAAGAAGGAAGGGCTCTTTGGAAGTCACACACAAGACAGCAGTGAGAGGCCTCACCAGGGGAGGAATGGAGGACAGCTTCCCAGGTAGCATAAGCCTGCAGGGAAGCTACAAAAAGGAACGGTGAAAACAAGGCAGACAGGAGGTTCCATTTGTAACGGAATAGGGTCTACTTTCACAAGCTATTCCACCATGCAAACCTGTACCCAGCAGAGCTTCTACCACTGCCAACACTTTTCTTTCTAAAGTAAAAAAGTAAAGCTCACTTTTTGGCCTTCACTCAAACAGAACAACACATGGAAAGGATCTGGCCAGCATCAGGCATACATTAGGTTATTCCATTCAAGTGATTAAGGGGTGCCTCTCTCTATGCTTGGGCCATCCTTGTGCCCTCACTGGAAACCCAGGACAGAGGGTGCTTCTGACCAAGATCTTTACCAGGGAGAAGGGACAGGTACTAAGTATATTTGAGAAGAATTGATAAATTATCACCAAATCTCACTTAACCCTCAAGTCCATTCTTTTGGGAAAGTTGCCCAGTAAGACTGTCATGAGAACATGAGCATCCTCTTGTGAATCTCGAGTTGACACTGAAGGAAGAGAGAAGTGAGGTTCAAAGTGTACTTTCCCCTGGTCCTTACTTCTCAATATGTGGTAGGGGAGGGAGAGGAAAGAGGTCAAGGGTGGGGGGTGGGGGAGGGGGGGCGCTGCCAAGTATACAGAGGAATGGAATCTCAACTCCCTAACTCCCTGCAGCTAAAATCATTCTTTGGGAAAACTGCAGCCCTGGGTAACTCCAGAATGCCTTTTGAGGGGAAGCTGTTCTGAGAGAATGTGAGATAGGGACTTCAGGGCTCTAACACCTTCCTTTTATGGCCCTGGGGATAAGACCCAGTAGAATAAGGCCGGATTTCTCAATTTCTTGCCAGGGAGAGGAGAATTGCATTTCAAAAGGACCTAAAACAATTAGACCCCAGATCACACCTCCATCTAAGCAATAGGGCAGCAAAAGAATCCTAGACCAGGAGTGGGAGAGGGGAGAGAACAGAAATCTGGGGAGAGTGGCCCTCTCATCTTTCTTCTTCAGTCTGTCCCCTGCCCCCACTTTCACACACACCCCCTTTCAATGAAGAAGCCAGGACTGGATCTGGGTTGGATTAATGACAGCTATCACCAATTTGGCCCCAAGTTTCTATCTCTCTTAGAGTCCAAGTGAAAGAGGCAAAAAGCGTACAGATATCCAGGGCAAGGCTCTCAAAGGAGGCCCTTGTGCTGAGTGAGACAAAGGGCCCTGGTGGTGGGCGGTTTCCCAGTTCTAACTCAACTCAGATGCTCTGAGCCCTTCCCAGAGTGAGTCACGCTGGCTGCCCAGACAGGGCGAAGCTGGAAGAGAGGGTTAGCTGAGCATTGAGCTGTGCGGCTAACACATCCTCTGAGACACTGCTGTCTGCGTGCATCTCCCTCCCCGCTTGCAGGCCAATTCCAAGCCATGAGAAAACCCAGTTAGATACCCAAGTGGGCTCTCTCTGCCCCATCCTGAGAGAGCATGCTTGCACCCAGGCCAGGTGAGCACAGCTCCTTCAGCCAAGCCATGTCTGTGGCTGCTTACCTATCTGCATGACCCTCCCAAAGACAGAGGTGTCGTCCACGGTGCTGCAGTTCCACCGCCTCTGCCGGAACTGGTGCTGGCACTCCTTGATGCCCATCTTGGCTCCCTCCCCTATGTAGGCCATGTGCTCTTGGTACAACTGGCACAGCTTTCTCTGGCCCGGGGAGAGCCCAGGAAGCTGGCTGCACACAGGCTGGGCACCGATGATGAACATCTCAGGTCTCTGCACCGGGTTCATAGCTAGCGACCTACAGCAGCAATTCAGAAAGGGGAAAGGAGTGAGCACACGCCTGCGTGCAGCAGTAAGTCATTCCTCCAACACATTACTGAGTGCTTTCTGTGAATAAGACCGTGCAATGAGGGCTGGGAAAAGGAAATTGAGGAGTCCTGGCCAATGTGGCTCCATTGGTTGGACTGTCATCCAGTACGCTGTAAGGTCCTGGGTTCAATTCCCGTCAGGACACATACCTACGTTGTGGGTTCGATCCCTGGTCAGGGTGCCTATAGGAGGCAACCGATTGAGGTGTCTCTCTCACATCAATGTCTCTCTTTCTCGCTTCTCTTTCTCCCTCACTAAAACCAATAAAGAAAATTGGGGAAACTGAGGCACAAACACAGGTGACATGTAAGATATCAGATGCCAAAGACAGACTTGAGCTTCTGGATCCAGAGTGAGCAGATAGAGGAAGAGTTCTTACAGCTGGAAGAAGAGCTTTTTAAAAAAATAATTATTTACTTTTAAATTTCTATTTTTTAATCCTCACTTACGGACCATTTCCATGACTTTAGGAGAGAGGGGAACGGAGGGAGAAAGAGAGAGAGAGAAACATCGATCAGTTGCCTCCTGCACGTGCCCCGATTGAAGCCAGGGATGAACCTGACAGGGAAACGAACCCGAGACCTTCCAATGTATGGGACAATGCTCCTACCACCTGAGCCACCCAGCCTGGGCTGGGAGGAGTTTTATAAGCAGATGGCTAGAGTGTGAGCTGGCTCTTAATTAAAGCGTGTGGGGCAGGAGGAGAATAAGCCAGACAGGGCAGGCTATATTCATTTGAGGCAGAGGGCAAAAAGAGCCAACAGGAGAGCACGTGACTTATTCAAGGAGTAGGAGTGATTGGTTCACTTTGGCCTAAATGCAGGCAGGATGTGTGACAGAAAGCAATACATTCCCCTAAATCAGTGGTTCTCAACCTTCCTAATGCCGTGACCCTTTAATACAGTTCCTCATGTTGTGGTGACCCCCAACCATAAAATTATTTTCGTTGCTACTTCATAACTGTAATTTTGCTACTGTTATGAATCATAATGTAAATATCTGATATGCAGGATGTATTTTCATTGTTACAAATTGAACATAATTAAAGCATAGTGATTAATCACAAAAACAATATGTAATTATATATGTGTTTTCCAATGGTCTTAGGCGACCCCTGTGAAAGGGCCGTTCGACCCCCAAAGGGGTCGAGATCCACAGGTTGAGAACCGCTGCCTTAAACAGAACTTCCCCTTATGCCTTTAAAATCTAATCCAATTTACATGCATTGCAATATATTCTAAATGTTTTCACTTCCCTATCTGACCCACACATCCCCTAATCCACTCTTTATCAGTACAAGGGCTCTCCCTTCAGCTCATCATCCACCAGACACAATAAAGTGTTAAGTTAGATGAAAAGGCTGTACATTTGCCATCTGAGTAAAAATTTGAGCAGGGCACAGTCTGTGCAAAACAGGTGGTGAGTGCCTGCCATTTCCATGCTGACTTGGCAATGACAACAGTCTTTAAAAGACAAAAAGAAGGACAAACATGATCCTACAAATCCCTCATCTTGTCATCAGACTTATAAAATAGAAATTCTACTCTCCTTGCAACCACCAGCAAAAAATAAATAAAATAAAAATCATCCAATAGCAACAAAAGAGATATTTTCAACCACCCCTAGAAATGGCGGTAGAGCCAGGAACTGGGGAATGCAGACAGGATCAGAGAAAAAGCCAAATGAACGAATCCTTTATCCTGTGGAACCTTTACTTCTGGGGGCGTGATAGAGAAAAAGGGCTGTGCTAGATTTCCTGGGATAAAAGAAGGCCTTAGGATTCCTATGAATACAGGAATGATCACGACCCACCGTGACCTTCTCCACATTTCAATTACCAAAGGAGGCGTAGGTTGTAGAGTAGGACTTCAGCCCCTCTCACTCACCACCAGGAGCTGGCTTCGGCTGGGAGCTGAGCCCAGCTGGAGAGCAGCGCAGCAGCGAGCAGCAGCAGGCCTGGCATGGTTGGCCTCAGCCCTCCCCAGTGTCCTGGGAAGACCCCTGGGACTGCCAGCTTCCAAAACTGGGCTCCCTGAGAAAACAGAAATGGAAGGAGAATCAATGTGGAAATGCAACAGATAGGGGAGGACCAGGAGACAGGGGAATGAGCTCTGGGCTGGATCTAACATCACTTTCTCTCTCCCAAAGAAATTCAGCTTCTTTCCAACCTCCAGTTCTTACTGTTCATCTCACCATAGGGTTGCCTTGATGTCTCTTACCCCAAACTGTGAAGACCCCACTCGAGGCCTAATTCCAAAGGAAATACAAGCTGAGAAACTAGAAGAGAGAAATGAAAACACACTCCTTCAAGAACCGAGCATGTGCTATGCAGCATTGATGCAATGCACATCTGCCCTTCCAGAGCGAGAACCACCCATCGCCCTCCTCTTTACCTCTCACGCCTGCCAGAGGTGGATGTCTCTGGCCACCATGCTCTTTTGTGGCGCTAAAAAACAACTGACAGCCAAACAGGAGTTTCCCTCTCAATCTGTAACCTTCTCACTCTAAACAAGTTTTCCAAATCCCAGAAGCTGTTTACCAGGAATAATAGTAGGGAGAAGGCAAGGACTTTTCACTTTCTCAGGGCAACTTCTCTGAGAAATGTAAAAGCCTACAGCAAGCCGGGGCCCTAAAGCTCTGGAGGCTGGGGGTGCCTCCCTGGGTGGCCCTCATCCCTCCCCTGTGCTCAGGGGCCCTGTGTCCCAGCAGCACCTGCAGCAGAATGGGAGCACCTGCTGCTCCTCATCTGCAACCCTTGCCTCTAACATCTGTGCTGAGCAACAACCCCTTCCCTTGTGGCAGGAGAGCCTCCCGCATCTTTACCCTCCCGCAGCTTTTTGTAACCACCACCTATGCCTGTATTCCCGCAAACACCTTTCCTGGAGTCTTCGAAAACCTACAGAAAATCCAGCTTCTGGATCCTGGAGCAAGTCTGTAAAAACACGCCCCTCCAACTCACCCTCACCTCGTTTCCCCTGGAGCTTCCATCCAGGGCGTGACCCCTCAGTCCTAGCGAGTCTTCTTCCCACTACCCCTTAACACCTCCAACCTTACACACACAAACACAAGCTCCCAACGCCCCCACCCCACCCCCACCTCACCGCGCAGTTCTGGGTCGCCAGGCTCTCCGGGAGGGGGCGGCAGGTGCTTTGGGTCATCAGCCTGGCAGATATTTTTGTCCTGGGGCCACCAAGAAAGGAAGGTGGCTTGAGCTAGATCCAGGGAAGCTGGGCCACAGCCTATCCCCACCCCCTTTTGGTTTTTCTCCTTGGGGTCTTAGCTGGGGCCGGGGCATCAACAGGCAGGTGTGTGAGGTCGGCGGGGGGCAGATCAAAGCAAAAACTTGCTCCTTCCCCTTTGTCATGCAGAGCGAGCTCGGAAATGATCCTGTCTCTAGCCCAGCGGACTAACAGCTCCCCACACCCTACTTCCCAAACAGACCTTCCCCTCCTCTAAAGGATGCCCCCTCCCCCTCTAACCTCTACCCCCTATAAATCCTCCCCGTCCCCGAGGGCAGAAGGTCTGTGAATGCACTGACTGGAACCAAGAGAGATGGAGCAGAGATAGGGCTGGCACCAGAAGCTAATGGCTTTATGGAGGGGAGGGGACCAGGTCCAGAGTAGGGAGGACAAGAGAAAAGCTTCAAAGAATCTCCTTGTCCAAACATCCTTAGCTCCACCTACCAGTCCTTCTTGGGGACTCAAGAGTCAGAGCTGCCCCTACTCCCTGTGGCCCTCCTCCCTGCCCACACCTCCCTCCCACCCACATGGCCAGCCCACCACCAAGCCTCCTGCAAAACCCCTACTCCCACCGACAACATCCTCACACATTTCCATCCAGATAGCTGAGCTCTTTCTCCAGCTGGTGACACTTCTTATCCCCACGGATTCCCCCTCACGCCAGTGTCTCTCATTGTCACACCCTTTCACCGGGCCCCTGTGAAATCTCTGGCTCTGCAAGTCCCAGGTGCAGCCGAGGCCACACTGGGAGCCACTGTTTCTGAGCCAAGGACGGGAGTCAGTGCCAGCTAACAGTCGCTGTGGCTTTGACACCCCAGTGCCAGGCTGACAGGTGAGCTAAGGCCAAACTTCCAAGAGCTGCGAATCCCGCCCCTCCGTGCTTTATAAACACAAACTAAGACAGGCTCACTCCCAGCAGCCGCCTACCAACTTGTGCTTTCCATCAAACTCTCATTAAAAAAGATTTTAAAAACTTAAAAAAGAAAGAAAAAGACTCTAGCGTGTATGGTGGCCTCTTTCTCTGCCTTCCAGATGTGAGCCCCCGTCTGAGTGGCCACCCAACCCCCGGCCTCGCCCACCCTCCTTTACAGTCTTCCATTTCCTCAGGCAGGGCTGGGAGGAGAGAGGTGGGTGCTGGTGACTGGTTTCACTAGTTGGGCAGAATGGAAACTTCTTGCCTCAGTGGGACTGGGTAGGAAGGAAAATGTGTGGGGACTGATGGTTTGGTTTTAATGAGTCGGACACACCAGAGGCCCTGTTTGTGGGCCACTGCGGAGTTTCACAGCAGGTCTCAACCAGGGGAGACTGTTCCTTGTGTGGGGAAATAGGTCTAGCAATTATCTAAAAGGCAGGGCGAATTCTTTTTGCCACCTTTGTAATAACTAGAGTTTTCCCCCCAAACTAAATAGTTTCTCTTTCCTATGAGAGGTGTCATTTCAGAGCCACCAAACAGTTAAGTATGAGAGAATCCAGGGCCTCTTTTCTTCGGTAGTGACTGGGAGGTTGCAGGGATGGGGAGATGCAACATTCTCCGTCGGGACCTCCACAGGGCCCGCATGGGCTGAGCAGACGTATCTGCTCTGCTTCTTCATTCAGCCATTCATTTGTCCAATAAATTCATTAATCCAATATGCAGGAGGGGCCTCATGTGTCCCAGCTACTGCTCTAAGTGCCAGAGATAGGAATGAACAAATAAATTCAGGCAGGGGATAGGGGCATCGACCCTCCACCCAGTCCAAAATCTGCATATAACTTTTGACTCCCCTAAAAGCTAACTACTAGTAGCCTACTATTTACTGGAAATCTTACCAAGAACATAAATAGACGATTAACACATATTATGTATGTTACATGTATCATATACTATATTCTGAAAATAAAATAAGCTAGAGAAAAGAAGATATTATTAAAATCATAAGGAAGAGAAAATACATTTACAGTATTTATTGAAAAAAATCTGTGTATAAGTGGACCTGCGCAGTTCACACTCATATTTTTCATGGTTCAACTGTACATATATGTTAGGTTCTGTGAATATTATGAGAAAAACATCAAGCAGGGACTAGAATCAAGAATAAGGCATGATAAGCCAGTCAGAGACAGAAAAATACCATGTGATTTCACTTATGTGTGGAACCTAATGAGTAAAATAAACAAACAAAATAGAAACAGACTCATAAATACAGAAAACAGGCTGGCAACTGTTAGAGAGAGTGGGGAAGGGGCTGGGTGAAAAAGGTGATATGATTAAGCAAAAAAAACAAAACAAAACACACACACACAAAAACACCCCCCACACACACACACAAACTCATAGACACAGACAACAGTATGGGGATTACCAGAGGGAAAGGGGGTGGGGGGTGGGGGGGATAGAAGAGGGTAAAGGAGGGAGGGATAAATGGGATGGTGAACATATAAACAGATTATATATTATAGAATTGTGCACCTGAAACCTATATAATTTTATTAACCAACTAGAGGCCCAATGCACGAAAATTCATGCAAGAGTAGGCCTTTCTTCCCCCAGCCGCTGGCACTGGCTTCCCTCTGGCACCCGGGACCCAGGCTTCCCTCCCCCCGCTGCCCGCAGGCACCCGGGACGGGGGCTGCTTCCCTCCTCTGGCCCCTCTTGGTCAGGAAGGACGTCCGGAATGATGTCCAGTCTAATTAGCATATTACCCTTTTATTATTATAGATCACCCCAATAAACTCAATAAAAAATTTTAAAAGAATAAGGCATAAAAACTTACATTACTTAGGGTCCTTGGGGAAAGCACATTGGGAAGTATCTGCCCAAACCACTATGTAGATGGAAGGCAGCAGGGGACAGCCCTGCTGCACATCTCCAACCCCTGTGGTACCTCCCGGGTCCTGACTGAGACTGCTCTACCAGCACACAAAGGGCTGCGTATCTGAAAACAGGAACTCCAGGTTCTCGTCCTTTTTCTGGTTGGACTCAGTTACCAATTTTCATTTCCTTAGGGGGCTGTGGTCATCGGCCCAGAGACAGGAGACCAAGGACAGAGACTTGGACAAGTGGAGCTGAGGCCCCAGCAAATCCGTCCTTGAAGAGGTATCTCTGTGCTTTCCACACGCACTTCAGACTGTGCCTGTGATGAAAACCTCAGCCCCCAGGGCGAGGGCTTGGAAAGGTTATCAGCTGCTCTGCTCACAAAACCACCACTGGGTGTTCAGCTTAGGAGTCACACAGAAGATGGTGTCCCATCCCACACCTGTCCCCCTGCCTCAGACAGGCACCCTCACACCTAGAAACTTACCAAGAAATAACCAAGACGCTGGATGGGAGCCTTCTCGCGGTTGCCACTGGCTAACTGTTGCTGGGTGACCCAGTGAAGAGCTACTGGGTGCAAAATTTAAAAACACACTTGTTCTTTTGTTGACCTCTCTGGCACAGCGAGGTGAACAACCCTAGCAGTCTGGAAAGGGAACTTCCCTCTGTGAACTCCTGGCTGCACTGCCACAACGTACTTGCCTGTTGTTAAATGATCTCCATGGGGTAGGGGCGGGTAGAGGAGGTGCAGGAATGACAGCTGTCATCCCAGTCTCCTCTTTCCTTGGTCACTTCAACACCATAAAGAGGAGAGAAAGACCCTTTATGGATCTTGACTAATACCTCCTGAGGTGTACAGCACGCTCACGCATTTCCTTCCCTATTTCCAAGCAAGTGTTCGCCCTCCTTACCCCTCAACACCAGAACAATTCTTTGTGGTCTAACCCAGATGGCTCCAACAGGTCTTCCTAAAATACGCATTGAACATCATAATATTCC